TTTAAAACTGTGCTGTCATTATCTATTTGCAGTTTTGGAGCTCTCTGAGAAATACCAAAAACGCTTTGGTCCTATGCGTTATCTAGTTGCTGGATTCCTCAAGTTCATGTGTTTGCCAAAGTATAGCTATGAAGTGGAATATCTCCCGGCGCAAAAAGAGGACGCAGAAGGCAAATTGAGGCTTGAAAAGGAAGTTGTTGATGTGCAAGATCTTTACACGGATGTAATGAGGAGATCAAGCAAAGAAGGAATGCCTAGAGCCTCCAGTTTATCAAGTATTGACTCGATAATGACCCCAAGCGTAGGCGAGCTAGACACATGCAGCAGCACACATGCCAGCACGGAGCCATCTGAATATGTTCGTGGAATAGATCCCAAAATGAAACGATTGTCCTCAGGCAGAAGAGATGTTACATCTGAGCAAGAAGTGATTCAACCTCAAGGACAGTCAACAACACCTAATTGGCCAAGGACAAGGTCAAAGTCAAGAACAGATAAAGGATGGATGGGGTTAACATCCGTGCAGGATCCTCCAACTCGATGTTCATGGGGCAATGCCGGTGCTCATGACAGAGAAGACATTTCATCTACTGTATCCGACCCGGGTCCCATCTGGGATGCAGGACCCAAATGGGACTCTGAGCCGTCTGCTTGGGATGTAGAAAACTCAATAGAGCTGCCAGGTCCTCCTGAGGATATAGAGACAGGACTGAGGAAGCAAACCATCACATCAAGATTTGAAGATAAATGGGTTGCTAGGAAGGGACATTTCCTTGGGATCATGGTCTGTAACCATGCTTGTCGGACTGTGCAGAGCTCTCAAGTGGTGGCTCCCAATTCAGAACACGACGATGGTACAATGGACATGATCTTGGTTCATGGGTGTGGAAGACTGAGGTTGATGAGGTTTTTTATCCTCCTGCAAACCGGTCGACACCTTTCGCTTCCGTATGTGGAGTGTGTAAAGGTAATTGCATTTTTTCTTTCTCTCTAAGGCTAATCTCTCTTCTTTTCTTCCCTATACTCTTATTTACTGTCAAACAGAAACTATATTAGAAGTGATCGAATTGGATGACACAATTTTGCAGGTGAAGTCGGTGAAGATAAAGGCGGGAAAACAGACACATGACAGTTGTGGTATAGACGGAGAGCTGTTTGGTTTGAATGGAGAAGTGATATCGACTATGCTACCGGAACAATGCAGATTGATCGGTAATGCTCCTGAACGACATTTATAGTTATTAAAAATCTCATCAAATTATGTGGATGAAGGGTGAGGAAAGAAAGAGAGAAAGAGTTTGGGTGTTTATATATCTGGAATCATCCTTTTTTGTTTTATTTTTGGTTTTTGGTTCTGGTCGGCGTCAATAGCTAATGCGATAAGAGAAATAACATGAGAAGAGTATTGAAACTGTGATCCTTTTGTGCCATAAGTTCCTTAAACCCTTTGTATATTCTTTGGCCCTTTTTTTTCATGTGTGTGTGTTATGAATCATATATATGTACTATACTGTATGTGTGTTTCCGACAATGATTTATGTGTTTCCCCCTTTCTTTTCACACATGCTTATAAAAATCGATTAGACCGGTTTGGTATATATATTACTTGGGTTGTATGTACATGAATTTAACCACAGCATACAGTGCGTGGTGCTGTTGCTTTAACCTTTCTATGCCTTTAATCATCATCATACATGGAAGTCATCTCAAATGTGGACCAAAGGCACTTACCACTTATATATCATAGTCTTAGTATTCAAAGATATTTAACTGGTATACAAATTCTGTCTTCTGACTCGAAACTCTGAAGCCATATCACTCTTACATTTACTTGAAACTCTGAAGCCATATCACTCTTACATTTACTTGGAGCCGCACGTTCCTCCTCATCCAGTGAAATATCTCTGGCTTTGTCATTTTCAAAGGACACGTGCGTATCTTCTATTTATGGTGGTCTTTTTTGATATTTTCCTTGTCACTTCTTAGTATCCACTCTTATCCATTCACTCACACGTTTTTTTTGTCTGCATGTTTCATTGCCACGTAGTATATATTTCTAAATCATCTTCAAATAGCGTCCAGGTAAAATTAAGTAGATGAATTTTAATTTACCATAAGATAAGATAAACCTACAACTTTCTTCATTCATTTGATTAAGGAGAATTGTAGAAGACGCGCACGTGTGCTTTGAAAAAGAAAAACGGAAAGGTTGTTTACCACAAGATTGATTTATTTTCCCACTTTCCCCAATCTTCCACACACATTTTATCCTCAATCTTCCTCAGATGAGTAGCTCAATCACTTTTTCGCCGGCGTTCGCTGCCGCCGTTCCCCATCCGGCCTCCCACGACTGTCTCTCCGCTTCCGCTACTGGCCCCATGTCGCTCAAATCTTGCATCGTCGCACCTCTCTCGCTTTTCGCCTCTCAATCTCGAATCAAACGCGCGAGCTCGACAACAAGAACTTCGAGGATGACGATTCGATGCGACGTAGCTGTAAAATCCGCTGACTCGGTGAACGCAGAGGCCGATCCTTCGTCCTCGCCGTCGTCGGAGGCGGAGATCGAAGCGGAAGCGATTGCGAAGGTAGGATCCACGGTTAGGGTAACTGCGCCCTTGAAGGTTTATCATGTAAATCGCGTCCCGGAGCCGGAGGTTGATTTGAAAGGGATGGAAGGTAAGATCAAGGACTACGTCGCCGTGTGGAAAGGGAAACGAATATCAGCTAATCTTCCGTACAAGGTGGAGTTCTTCAAAGAGGTTGAAGGTCGTGATCCTGTCAAATTCGTCGCGCATCTCAAGGAAGACGAGTTCGAGTTCGTCGATTCGTGAGCTAACAACAACAAAGGCAAATTCTTTTGCTCTCTTCTCTTTCTCAGACTGTTTTTGTTTGTGTTCACTGAAACCTGGGAATGGAGAATAATACATTGTGAATGATTTGTATGTATACGTTTTTAGCAATCATATACATAGTCCCTTCACCCCCATTTTTGTTTTTGATTCATCCACTTGCCTTAATCTCGTTATTGATATCCCACTGTTAGATTAGATAGATGTGTATACTTCATCGTAGAAACGAAAAAGTTTGAATCTTGATACGGATTTTTGATTCATAAGGATAATTGAGGTCGAGGTTGTTTCAAACGCCAATTTTCTTCTATATCAAGATCAAGCAAGATCCAACTTGGGATAACACCTAGTTTACTAGATTTGGAGTTGCTTTTAAGAGTAGCATCATTGAAATCTCCTGAAACGAAAAGGTTGAAATTATCGTGATCTTTAAAAGGTCTCAACAAGTTGGTGGTATTGAGTGGATAGTATATAGTGTGAATTGTACTAGAAAGAGCCTGTCGGATGATTTTCGGATGCAGACTTTTGGTTTGGAATTCACATTCCTCTCTTTGTTTTTTATACAATATTCCCTATTTTCTAGTGTACGTTTGTAGAAGAGAGGTTTGTAGAAGAGAGGTTTGTAGAAGTGAGGTAAGGTAATGATATTTCTCCTGTGATATCGCACTTTTAATGTGGAATAGAGGAGAAAGAAAGTCATCGTTCTTGAGAAAGTCGTCATCAATCACATTTGATCTAGGAGATGATCGAGCTGTCATGCTTATTGAACTTATAAAAGTTTTAACATTACGACTGTTTGGTTCGTGAGTCCCATTCTCGGTTTGCTATTCCAATAAATCTTAAAGACTTGTTGGAAACAAGATGTGTTAGGTAGAGGGTTGTCACATTCATATGTCGTTGCTCGTGAGATAAACTTATTCATCATAGATCATGAGTTTGTCATTAATTCTCGGAGGTAGGAAAAATAAAACTATAGTAGTAAAAATGTTCTTGATATTGCGAGGAATATCGACTCTAACGTACTAACACGTCCATGTATCACGTCTTTCAACGTTTAATAAAAATTGGAGTGGATGGAGATTCGAGCTTCAGAAAAACAATAGTAACAAAATAAATTAAAAATTAAAGGATTACAAAACTCAGATTTAGTGACAGCACATCTAGGCCAGGCCAGGCCAGATCATGGTGGCAAATGATTGATTTTTCACTTTTTAATGAGCGAGAGAGTGCTCTTTGAATAGCAACCAGCCAAATTATATAAGAGGGACAAGTAATTTAAAGTCAAAACTGCTTATATATATACCCGTAATTGTAGGTTTCTGTTTCAAATTTTGGCTGTCATTTTTATTTCTTTTTTTCTATAGTGGTTGTAACTTTACTCTTGTTAAATGTTTTTTTGTAGGTCAGTGTAATGTGATTTCTCTAATGAAATATCAATTTTACTTTTAAAACCACGAGAGAAGACCAACAATGTGTCTTGTTTTTGTTTTTTTAGATTTTTGAGTTGTGTACTTTTTGCGTGATGATGGGATCTCTCATGGACCCATGCAATTAGGTCGTCCGTTATTATCTACCCAAACCTTCTACTATTACTTTTGTCGATCCAACTTTGGTCTATCTAATATGTCACTGTTATAAAATTGTTGTAGAGAGACACTAGAACATCTCATATATGTAGATGGAAGAAGATTACTCACATGCAGTCATGATAATTTTATCTTTGCTTTTGATAGATTTCCGATTGTTTAGACAGGAGATCGACCAAGAATCAATACATATAACTGAAACATTTATTTTCATTCGCATAAATCTTAAAACTTATCGACAGGGGTCCGTGTTAATAAAATATGTATCATCTAAGCAATAATCACATATTCATGATTACATGTCCATTTCCATTATAGCACCGACAGTAGTAGTTTCATAGTTTCAAAAACACACAAAATTCTTAAGAACGCCGTGAATTCAATTGTGCAATGTAACCGCTTTATTTGATTTTTTAAAAACTATTGTAATTTTGACCCTATAATTCGAATATAATCTATTTGTATTATATTTCACATACAATACGAAGTTTGAATCTGGATTATATGATATAGCGATGACATTAATTAGTACAAAAATACAAATGATTCTAATACACATTTCGGTCGATTTTAATTGCCTAATTTATGATAGCACTCAGATTATGAGTTCCCAAATAATGTTAGGTGCAATGAAGAAAATCTACAAGAATTGATTTGATGTGATCATAAAGGTGTACTTGATTTTATGGGAATCTCTAATGAAACAACAATACAATACTATAGTGAGCATTGCTTATCCCATAATGTGATGATACAACAAAGCGAGAAGCATGAAAAATGAGGAACCCAACAAAATTAAATGCAAAAATTGTTTTTGGAATTTGAAATAGAGAGAGGGAGAAAGAAAGAAGACGTAGCCAAAGGTTAAAAAGGGACTCTCTCTGCGCCTCCTTTTTGCTTCTCTCTCCTTCGTTGTGCTGTGCTCTCTGTCATTCTCTCTCTTCCCTTACTCCATTTTTTACTTCGCCATTGGAGAAAGAGAAATCACTTTAAAATACTCATTCAACTACTGCTACTACTTCTCTCTTCTCCTTAAGATTTTCTTCTTTTCTAAGGGAACAACGACGTTTCGATTTAGATATTTTTTTTACTGTTCCTTAAAAACTTCTCCTTTCAGTTACCAAATCCTGTTCAACCCATTTCATCTCTCTTCACCAATTTTGAATTCTTCGGGAGCAGAGGAAGCAGGCGGAGTATTATTGGCGTTTTGGGTTTTTTTTATTGGAAGACAAAGTTCAGCCCTTTTGCTGGTAAGGCGTCATTTCCTCGTGGCTTCTCTCTCTCTCTCTCTCTCTCTTTTACTTCCCAGATGATTTCTGGGTTTTTGATCTATTTTCCGTTTCAGATTTCAGATTGGGTCAGCGGAGATCTTGAGAAAGCTTTGTTCTTTCTTGGATTTTTTTTTTTCTGTCTGGTTGAGAGTTGGAATTTGAATGTGCTCCATTGCAAGGGTTTCGTTTCCGCCATGAATACCAAGCGAGCCTACAAGCTGCGTATCCTTATGTCTACCAATTTTCATCCTTTCCACTTGTTTTATGTTTTCTCGAGATTCTATTTTTAGGGTTTGTTCTAGGAGTCGTTGATTAACAACACAAGTGCCGTGCTTGATCTGCTGCTTTTATTCCGAGTTGCACGGAGATCTGTTTTTATCTTTTTATCTTTTGCTTCCTTCCCCGTGGAGTAATTTAAGACCTCTCGAGACTTGTGTGTTTGAATTTAAGACTTGTCATGTCAAGTTGAGTTTTGACTAGAGTCTCATCTGGTATACCATTGCTTAGCCTTGACTTGTGTGATACAAAGAGGAGTTTGTGGCACATACTGCTGCTGTCAACTGTCTCAAGATCGGAAGGAAATCATCTAGAGTTTTGGTAACAGGTGGGGAAGATCACAAGGTCAATCTCTGGGCTATCGGTAAGCCCAACGCCATTCTGGTCAGTTCTCCGTCTACTGCTTCTTTCCTGCCTTGCCTTTGGTGCATTATGTGTTTGTTTTAGGAGAAATTATGTAGATTTGCATATAATGTAGTAGAGTGGTCTCTCTTACTGAGTGTTGATCAGCATCTCATCTATTGGATGTTTGTTGTCAGAGCTTGTATGGGCACTCGAGCGGGATTGATTCAGTGACCTTTGATGCTTCGGAGGTCTTAGTTGCAGCAGGAGCTGCTAGTGGTACGATCAAACTCTGGGATTTGGAGGAGGCAAAGAGTAAGTGTTAGCAGCTTTTAAAAGACCTTTCTTATTTGGCTCAGTTTGACTCGTATGATTACTTATGCGTTCTTTCACTTGATTTATGAGTAGTTGTCAGGACTCTCACTGGTCACAGGTCGAATTGCATATCCGTGGATTTTCACCCTTTTGGTGAGTTCTTTGCGTCTGGTTCACTAGACACAAACCTTAAGATATGGGATCTACGTAAAAAAGGTCCCATCCATACTTACAAGGGTCACACTCGAGGAGTCAATGTACTCAGATTCACCCCTGATGGTCGCTGGGTTGTATCTGGAGGAGAGGACAACATTGTGAAGGTTAGTAGCTGCTTTCATGTTGGTGATTTTTTTTCATTTCTAGATTTAAGATTTTATCTTGTCTACTGCGGAAGGAAACACAGCTGGTTTGTCGACATGATTAGTTAGTGTTTCTCTTTAGGAGAGTTTGGAGCAACGAAACTGCATTTTTTTTATATGAACTGGCTTTCGAGAGTTAGTAATCCTTTCTGAAAGGAATTAGCTTTTCTTCAAATTTTCGTTTGTATGTGTCTCATTGATGATGTTCTGCAGCAGGCGTTGTCTTTTTAAGCGGTGAGGAGAATTTGCGAGTATCTAGTGTTACCTATCTGCACTTGAGCTGAATATGTTATAGGAGAGTGTTTTAGGACCACCTGATCAATTATCGGATGCTTAATCTCTCTTGGTTATTGATTATTTTCCGCTCTCAGTGTGCACTGTATTGTTGTTTTCAAAAGCAATTTACTCGGAACCTTTTCTTAAATCTTTCAATGGATCTGATATGAAGTTTGTCTTTACCAGGTGTGGGATTTAACAGCTGGAAAACTGTTGACCGAGTTTAAGTGTCATGAAGGGCAAATTCAAAGCCTAGATTTCCATCCTCATGAATTTCTGCTGGCAACAGGTTTGTATTACTCTTGAATTTTTCTAGGCTAAGACTAAGAGTGAATGATCACAAATGTAACGTTGTGGTAACCAGCCCAGCTTAACCTGATTATTCAGATTCCTGTGTCATGGCGTCATTATCTTTTACGTAATTGAAACACTTGTGGCAATCTTATCTTTCTAGCTTTTTGATTTGAGATCTGAGAGAACCTATGCATGCAAAGTATTTTTCTTTTCTTTGGACATATTATAGAAGGTGTGTGTGGTAACAAAGAGATTTTCAGGATGTTGAGTTGGTAACAATAGAATTACAACTTTTTTGGCTTGTTGCCTTCTGGTCCCCTACATGATTTTAACATCGACCATATCTCTCTCTCTGGCAACGTTCACCTATTTTTTTACATGGAAAACTGTAGATTATTATTATTAGTTATTGAGAGCATTATGTTATTTGCGTGTGGTAACAGGTTCAGCTGATAGGACTGTAAAATTCTGGGATCTTGAAACATTCGAGCTAATTGGTTCTGGTGGACCTGAGGTACTACTTCTTTTACGCTGAGTCATATTGGTGGCATTTTATTTTCATTCTACCTCCTAATGTTCTCATTCTCGCTAGACTGCTGGGGTCCGTTGCCTGAGCTTTAATCCAGATGGAAAGACGGTGCTTTGTGGATTGCAAGAAAGTCTCAAGGTGAACTCTTTTTTACTTAGATAACCATTTTGTAGTTTTTGGTTTGCATAAATGTTAATCGAAATCATCTTTTGAGGACAGTTGCTTTCAAAAAAGACATGCCTACTCTCCTTACCTTACTCCTATAGTTTAATCCTCTGCAACCTGTAGATTTTCTCGTGGGAGCCAATTAGATGTCATGATGGAGTGGATGTTGGATGGTCAAGATTGTCGGATATGAATGTTCACGAGGGAAAGCTTCTTGGTTGCTCATACAATCAAAGTTGCGTTGGCGTGTGGGTTGTAGATCTCTCGGTATTCCTCTCTCCCTGCATTTTTTGCTTTCCTATTGCTAAACTGTAGCTGTTATTTGTAAACTCATTTTCCGATGCATGGTCAGCGTACTGAGCCAGGCATGGCTGGTGGCGCTGCTCAGTCAAATGGTCATTCAGAGAAAAAATCTGGCTCAGGAAGAGATCCAGTAGTTCTCAATGATAATAACACAAAAACTATTCTCGGGAAGCTGTCCGTTTCCCAGAACATAGATCCTTTATTGAAAGAAACAAAGTCTCTCGGACGATTATCTGTTTCTCAGAACTCTGATCCTTCGACGAAAGAAAAAAAGTCCACAGGAAGGTCATCAACATCCCAAAATTCAGATTCTTTGGTCAAGGAATCAAAGCCTCTCGGAAGGTTGTCAGTTTCTCAAAATTCAGATGTTACTAAAGAGTCAAGGACGCTGTCATGTACGCTTGCTTCTATTATTTTTCTCTGTCTCTTCTTGCTTCTGTCTCAGCGCTGATTGACGATATGCCATTTCTTGTTTTGTCTGCTGTTTGAAGCCACGGGAAGTGTACCAAGCACTCCTCATAGGGTCAGTTTAACCAGCGTTTCAAAAGCCGCCTCGGGTGTTTCGACGGCTGTCTCTAATGCTGCACCATCAAGGAGGAGTTTTACAAAAGCTAACCCAAAGGCGAATCCTGTCAATAAGACATCAGATTTTGTTGCGGTGATTGTCCCCAGAGAAGACCCTAGAATAGAGCAGGCAACTGAATCCAGAGCAGAACTTGACATAATTGCAAGAACCATGCCTTATTCGTTGCAGGCGGCTGACTCTCGAAGGTCGCCTAGCAGCAGAAATAACCCAGATCTGCCAAACGCTTCGGTTCTTGAAACCTCAGAGTCTCAGCCAGTTGAACCAAGTAATATCCCAGGTGGGAATACGTTTCCTGGTAGCAAGGGGGGCATGCGGGGTGCAGCTGAGCGAAGCATCAATGATTTTAGATACAAGAGATATGGCAGGAGTAATTCAAGGTCACGGATGGGATCACCTTCAAGAAACCACGATGAAAACTGTATGTTCTTGTGCCTTCGAATCTTTTCCTTTATTAGTGCAAATATGAATGTCAGCGGATAGTCGTACACTACCTTGTCCCCTTAAAAGTGGCATATAGGGTTAATAGTAATGGTGGTCTTACTCCACTGAGAAACCTGCAAATGTGGTCTTACTCCACTGAGAAACCTGCAAATGTGGTGCTTTTAGGTGCGGCGTATTCAGATAACAACTCACTTGTATAGTTGGCCCCTGTGAATTTTCCGTAGCTATGTTGAGTTTGGTAGATGATATTCTTAGTTCTAATCTTTAGTCTGTGTTTCAGATGACATGGTTAGCCACAAATCAAATAGAGATCCAAGTCCCACTGAAAGTCAGAAAGGAGGTAATTCTCTCGACTCAACTTTTCACCTTTTCATTGAAAAATGAGTTGGTCCTCACCCATGTCTCATACCATATCAGGAAGATTCCAGTCACTCATCATAAATAGGGAGAGAAGAGGAAGATTTTCCAACTTGGAAGGTCCTGTTTCGAATTTTCCGGCTGGAAATGTGCCTGCTGCTAACATCCGGCCTTCAAATATGGTAATAGCCTTAATATGTCTTCTGTTTTCGGGTTGAGATCTTGATGCAATAACACATTGGCTGTGAAGTGCAACGAAATAGGGAGACGTGAATAAGAGTAATAGACAAAGAGGAAACTACTGTTTCTGATTTAGTCTCTAAAGTTAGTGTCTTCAGAACATCTTAATAGACATGACTTTCCGTGATTACTAATCCATCTGCTCATGCTTTTGCTCCTATTCCTCTGAAACCCAGAGATAATACATATTGTTTTTCCTTCCGTGTAGTTCAAGCAGAGAGGAAACCATATGCCGGTTGAACAAGGGATCGATTCTCCTTCTGAAGATAATATCGTTGAAGACATAATGGGGAAGCACGATCAATTTGTCAGCTCTATGCAGTCTCGTTTGGCTAAATTACAGGTAACATGAAAGCAGTCAAGTTGCGATAATGTTGTTGGCTCAGTCCTAATTAGGCTAATATAGCTTTAAATATTTAAAGAGTTTCAATACATATGCCTGTCCACTACCGCTTAGACTAAATTATTTTTTTGTTATCGTTTACATGCGTTTACATATTATACCATTCCCCAGTGTTGTTGGATTTAATAGGTTGTTGAGATGCCAAGGGCTTCTGATTTAGGGATTCGAAAGACATCTAGTTTGTTTATTTCTCAAATTGTTTCACCAAATTTGCAGGTAATTCGTAGATATTGGGAAAGGAATGATGTAAAAAACACGATAGGTTCGATGGAGAAGATGGCTGATAATGCTGTAAGTAGCTTCTATTTTCTATTAAATTGCGGGATATCTGAAAAAAAGATTATCAGCTCAAGCAACTCTTCTTATTCCTTGGTTACAGGTTACTGCGGATGTACTGGGTATAATAACCGAGAGAAATGAGATTCTGACTTTGGATACTTGTACCTCCCTTCTTCCCATTCTAACAGCTCTTCTAGGGAGTGACATGGATCAGTAAGCATTCACTTTTTCTTAAGAAATAATGACAGAGTATTCGTGCTAAGTTAGTCATTTTTGATGGATTGCACAGGAATATAAAACACTGAACAGACTTGAATCTTTACGATCATAGTTGCGAGATTTGTGTTCATAATGTTTCTAACACTATTATCTTATATATTCAGGCATTTGAGCGTTTCCCTGGAATTGCTGCTGAAGCTGGTTAGAATGTACGGGTCACCAATTTACTCATCACTGTCAGCTCCAGCATCTGTTGGTGTAGATATCGAAGCTGAGCAAAGGTTGGCTTGGTTTCAACCTTTATTTGCATATCTAAGCCATCGTATATCATAATTTTGATAGCATACATTTACTCTCTTGGAACTCAACAACACATGTTTAACTGCTGTGTAGGATCGAGCGCTACAGTCGTTGCTTTGTGGAACTAGAGAAAGTCAAAGCCTGCCTTCCGTCTCTATCAAGGTAAGCACCGTAACTTAGTGAACAATGAAGATTTCACAAATGTTTGTAAGAGTCTATATGGCTCATATGTATATCTGTGTTGGGCTGTTGTGTAGAAGAGGAGGTTTGGTGGCCAAGTCTGTGCTTGAACTCAACCTAGCATTTCAGGAAGTATCATCATAATCACTCCGAATCTTTACGACCCAGAAAAAAGCGCAGAGTAAAGGCTCATGGAAGAAAGAACCCGCATCGTCCCAAGTCCCAACCCTCTGCTTTTTTATAATGTGGATTTGGTTCCAAAGGGAGTCTAACAAAAACTAAAGCTGATACTTACCAAGTTAACCAAAAGAGTTTGGAAGGCTAAAGTCCCACCCTGAGTTAGCTGCTTCTGTTCATTTCATGACTTTTGTGTCACCCACTAATCTTCGTGGAAGCAAAAATGTCTGCATTGCTCTAACTTTAGTGTGTAGAGAGAGCCATATGGGCCGTGTATTGTTCTTCTAGCTTAGTCTTACATGAATACTACTTGAGTTTCAGCTCTTTAGAGAGAGACATGTTCACAGTGTTGTCTTTACACAGCAATAGAATTTTTCGTGGTTTTTATTGGATTTCATCTCCCAGCTTCAATCTTATGCTCTACTTTCTTCATTTATGAGCCAACGAGCCGGTTGTGACTGAGCATCAAGGAATCAATTCAAATGAAAATTTATGAGTAAAGCTGTATCAAGGTCAAAGAGACTTCTCTAACAAGAACAAAGAAAAAAGTTTCAAGAGAGATTTCTTGATAGATTTTATTAGAGAAATTTTCATATAAATGAAATGGTTGATTTCACCTTAACCATCGTTAACGCAATCCATTGAGAATTTGAGATATACCTTTGAAGCATATATATTTTTATTTGATAATATAAATTAAGGTAGGTGATACAGGCCAAAACATAGCATATAAGTACATAAACTTGTGGGAATTAAAGACACAATAAAACAAAACTTGAAAAAAAGAGAGAGTACAATATCTAAAAACTGCAATAAACCCAACAGACTAGAGATAACTTGAGAAGACGAAATTGCCAAAACGATGTAACGGAATTGTCATCTCATCAACTACCCAATAATAACAAAATTATTCATTTTTATTTTTCTAAAACAATTGGGAAAAAAAAAAGGGGTGTGAAATTGACTGTGAAGTAGCAATCCCATGCCTCTGCTCTGCGTTACGTTGAGAGACAACGACCATTCAGGCTTTTGCTGTACAACTTACTCTTCTTCACCTTCTACGATCCTCCTCTTTTTTTCCCAGACCAAACTGGTCACTTTCTTTTGTCCCTTTTGTTTATTTTTAGATTCTCTTCCCCTATTTTTCTTTTATTACTATCAATTTTTGTAACCATCGCGTTACTAAGCACAATCTAAATTAAATTTCATATGTTATATGATCCCACTATTGTATTTATTAATTAACAAGATGAAACCAATATATCACATCGATCCGTCGGTTTAATTTCTTAGGAACTCGAGATGCATGCAATGATATTCCCTTTTTATTTCTTCTTTTTTTTAAGCAGTGAACATTACGTTTGGTGTACATTTTGGTGAACAGTATAATATGTCAAATATTAGCTCCCACCTGTAATTCAATGTCTGATGAAACTGTATAGTCTAAGCATGCATGTGAATCTCTGAAGAACTAATCAATCACACGATAAAAAATTCACGTGAAGAACTAATCAATCGTATTTCACTTCCGATATTGGAAGTTATGACAATGAAGTCGTGATTAAGATAGAAAAGTCGTTACACAATATAAAGATAGTGTTTTTAGATATTATGAAGAGATAATAGTGTAGTATGAGATGATTGTTCAACAAACAATAGTTGGTCGCATGGAATTATTACTCTGCCTCTTTCGTTTCTCAACTGTCTTTTCTATGTTGCCTGAAAACTATTTTTATCGCCGATTATTACTGTTTGGTGTGTTAGTAGTAACTTGTATTAGACGGTAAAAAGGAAAACACACAATAGCAGAAGATTATTTATAGATAGAAGGTGTGTATATTGTTAATGGATAATCATAAAATATATAATATAAAAAAAGTGAGAGGTCAACATCAATTCTCCTCAACAAACAAAGACAGAGATACTGCTTTTATAAGTAGTCTTCCTTCTCCACATTTGACTTTATTCACTCTTTTAAACTTTCCAGCTCTCTCTCTTTTCGACAAAGAAAAAATGGGATGCATAATGGTCATGGAGCTTGGGAAGACGAAGAAGAAGCTGATAAGAAGCATTTTATGGAGAATCGGAGCAGAGATTAAGAAGATGAAGAAGAAGATGAGATCACCAAGACACAAGAATAAGAAGCAGACCAGTTTCAACTACGATCCTCTGAGCTATTCTCTCAACTTCGACTCTCTCTAGTCTCTAATTAAGAAAAGACAACATTATATGCAGGTTTAATATAAATATGTCTTCATGCTGGTTTCTTATCTATATCAACGTGTTTGATATATATGCACCATGTATGTTTCTAATTCTAGGTTTGTTGTTTGTGCTGTCTTGGGTTATTATTAACAGCTTAATTAAGTTATAATCATCTTCTTCTTGTAAGCTAATTTTTAGTATGGAGAGATAAATGAATTTGCTACCGTTTGTTTGAAGAAAATAAAAAGATAAATGAATTTGCTACCGTTTTACTTCTCTGACTCTGATGGAGAGCGAGAAAAAGGATAACAGTTTTGTACACTGTTTCTCTGTGATAATTTAATGGTGTTCAATCTCTAAAAGTGGTTTTGTACTGTTGTAGGTAAAAAGTTATTCTATAATCTCCCAATGATATCTTAATGAAAACAACGAAGAAGAGAGAGAGAGTGAGATGTTTATAGTATAAATTATCACTTCATTTAATACAACTCATGAATTACTAGTTTTTATTGTTGTTTTGTTCAAATTTCATGAACTATCTATTAGAATTTCCGCAAAAATCCATCCATTTGGATTATAGTCTCAGACCCAAAAAAAAGAAAAGAAAAATCTATATAGTAGCCTACTTTAGTCGTTACGATTAAAAGAGATTTTAAATAAGTAAAATGACTTGTATTTTGAAAAAATTACTATACAAAGAAAAACATAAACATAAAAAGAAATGGAGACTTGAAAGAGAGAGAGAGAGAAGTTGAGAGGTAAATAGGGTCTGAGATTCTCTGAGGTGGGCACAGTAAACGAGAAGCGGTAAATTCACCTTCCCATCAACCCCCTAAACCCGTAAAAGTCTTCTCAGCTCTGCAACCCCACCCACATGCCTATCTTCCCTTTTCAGTCCCCTCTTTTACTTTTACCGTTATGCTTATGCACCCACTTCTCCTCTTTTACCATTTTTTTTCTCTTTTTTTATTTAAATCACATTCTTCTTCTCTTTTTATTTATTAATAATAAGAACTTATATCGTTCATTACGTGGTAAAGTTAACAAAACCTTCTTTAGAAGAAGAAAAAAATTACATCTGTAGTGTATAATCACAGTTTATAGTTTATATGAACTTATTATATGGGTCTTCCTTCAACCTGAATGTTCAAACCAAATTTATGTTCCTCGCCGTATTATTGTGTTAGTTAAAAGACTAGTTACCCTTATATATTGGGCCGGACCATTATCTTTTTTCGTTAATTGGGCAAGACCATTAGTTGATAAACTGTGATTTCAGGCATACATAGATTTCATGCTAGATATAATGGGCCTTCTAGCCCAATTAGTTAACCACAAAACCCACCGCCGTGTCAGAGAAAAAGAGACCGCCAAGAAAAACATCACAAACATCAAATAGCAGCAGAAGCAAATCTAGACCGTTTATGAGCATTGATCACAAAAAACCAACGGTGGATTAGATCGCCAGCTCATAGATCCGCGTCAAAACCGCGAAACAAAGCGGCGGGATTTTATATTGGCGCCACAAATTAGCAAAAAGAGTTTCGTTTCCCTCTCAATTACTCCCTTTTCTTCTCGCCGCTTCTCTAAACATTTCTCATCGAATCGATTTCTCTCGATTAAGAAATTTTCTCTCTTTCCGATCTTACGATAACAATGGCCGGTGGAGGATCGACGAAAACAAATGCACCAAAGCCGAGGAAAAGGGTGGAAGCTGAAACCAAAGCTGAAACCAGCAGCAACAGCAATACCTTACTTCGCGCCAAAGATGGCAGCGCTTTCGCTCGATGGTGATTTTCTCTTCTTGATGTTTTATCCCATCCCTTTCGTTCCGAATTGAAGTTTGGTACTATGGTTTGACTTGTTACTCCTTAATTTTCGGATTTAGGGTTTCTAGATCTACTGATTGTAGGTTGTTGGCGATTGGTTTCTAGATTTTAGGGTTTTTGGCGATTGGTTTCTAGGAATTCTGTTTTCCTCACAAGTTTTGCGAATATAAACCGTTTCAGTGAAGGATGCAACAAGAACGTAGCTGTAGCGCTTATAAGTATGCACAATTGCAGTCTCGATGCCAAGATCAGAGGGAATCTGGGTAACTAAATCTTTTGTTTTCCACTTTTTTTTCTCTACTGTGTTTCACCGTCGCATAATCACTTAGTCATGAAGCTATGTTCTCTTTTTCAGAAGCCCAAGTTGTTGAGACGCAAGCAGAGGCTAAGAAGAAGCCTGTTGAGAGGTAAACTCGTTTAGCCTTTATTTCTGAGTCTGTATGTATTGTTTTCAATATGTGATCTTGAATTCCTGATGCTGTTTGGATTTGTCAGGAAGAAGCCAACATCTGATGAACTTAAGCCAAAGAGACTCAGAAAAGCTAAGGACGAGAAGAAGAAGTCTACATCCAACAAGCCCAAGCGACCTCTTACCGCCTTCTTCATTTTCATGTAATTTTCATCCTTACACTTGCTTTTTTTTTCTGATGCTTATATAATTTTGGGGATGATGCTGATATTACCTTCCCTTTGCAGGAATGATTTCCGCAAAAAATTCACAGAGGAGAATCCATCTTCTAACGTTAAGGATGTAAGACTATAACTGAGCTCATTACTGCACTTGAGTACTATGTTTATTGTTTGTGAGATTGACTAGGCTGTACTATATATTGTGATTGTAGGTTGCAAAGCAGGGTGGTGAAAAGTGGAAGTCTTTGACTGAGGAAGTGAGTTGATCTGTCTTTGTTTCTTCCTTTGAGTTTCATGGTGATTTGCTTACCCTGACTGTGTTCTTACTCTGGTTTTGATATTTGATCACTTAGGAGAAGAAGGTTTATTTGGATAAAGCTGCTGTACTAAAGGCAGAATACAACAAGTCACTGGAGAGCAACGATGCTGATGGGGAAGTATGTGTTACATAATTAATGGTTTTGTCGTTTATTGTTATTTTTTTATTACTGGGAAGCTTGAGTCCTAAGATGATTCTGTGACTCATTTAGGAGGAGGATGAGGAGAAGCAAACTGATGATGCTGAGGAGAAACAAGCTGATGATGCTGAGGAGAAACAAGCTGATGATGTTGACGAGGCTGAGGAGAATGAAGTTGAGAACGAAGAAGCTGAAGGTAAAGGAGAGGAAGAAGAGATTTTGGATGACTACTAGTCATGTTTGGGTTCTTCTACTCATTGAAATGGATGTAACTCTTTATCGTGCTTTTGATATGTAAATTTCAAACCATATTATCGGAAATTAGTTATCTGGAAGTAGTTG